ATATGTTTTTTTTTTTTATTAAATTCAATTTAAAAAAAAAAAAACACTAAAAAAAGATATAATATAAATTTATATTATTTCTTTTTTTTTTTTAATTAAATTGATCAATTTTTATTTTAACAATTCGTTTTTTTAGATACTTTAAAAAAAAAAAATATACATCAAAAAAAGATAAAATAGAAATTTTATCCAAAAGCATAAGAGTCAAAATTTTTTCCAATTTTAAAGGCAAAAAAGCTATCGAAATCTTTATTTTTCTTTAGCTTTAAATTAAAGCTAAAATAATTTTTTTCAATATATAATTTATTGACAGAAAAAATTAAAATATTAAATATTTAAGGAGTTATTGATTATATTTAAAAATAATGATGTCTTGATAATTTTTAAAATTTCAATTTATGGATTATTTAATTAAGAAGGAATTTAAAATTTTCTTGAATTTTTAAAAACATAAAAAATAATTTTGAACCGCCCAAAAGAATTATCTCCCTTAAAATACAATAAATATATGAATTAATAATGTTATTAATGAAAAAAAAAAAAAATTAATATAAAATGACTCATCTTCCGATGCTAAGAGCAATCATGAGTTTCAGTTTTCTGCACACGGAGCGTAGTGAAAGCAAGAAAGCTGTGAAGAATCATGACACACTTTACAATTCGATACGTTTAGCTTCTAGTATTTGATTTTATTTTATAAATTTAATTATGAATATCTATATAAATAAAACTGAATTGCTGTTTGTTGATAAGCGAAGAAATTTAGGACAATTTTTTTTTTAATTTTTGTAACAAGCAAAATTAGATTTTTATATTGCTTAAATGCAATTGCATTTATTTTTACTATTATTTTTAGCAAAATTCAATTATTTACTCTAAATTTTAAACTAAAATTTATTTTAAAATAAAAAATTATCAAAAAATTAAATTACTAGCCATTGCTAGTAATTTTTATAATAATTATATTTTATAACAAAAATAAATAAAATTTTTTTAAATAAGCTCAGCGACATATTGAAAAAAAAAATACAATATTAAACTCTAAAAAAATAAATTTCTCAATTCTAAATAAAATAATTTGAAGTAGATTAAAAAACTCAAGCCAGCAGACAAAACAATCAATCACCGGTTAATTAAACCCCAATGAACTGATAAACCAAATATTAACTTTTATAAGCGGCGCGATTGTTTAGCATTTACACGTGCCCGTTCGGATCTACTATACCAGCAATTTGTTCAGCTGGCCGATTAAATTGGCGCACATGGAGAACACGCGCTGCAGGTATAGCTTCACCCGATGTCCCGAAGAGAAGAATAACCAACTCTTTAATTAATTTAATTAGCGCGGGCGTTCCGAGGCGAGAGATTGCAATCCTACTGGTGTTCTTGTCGAGTTTTCTCCTATCCCAAAGCTCCTTACTTTTATCTCCGGTTGCTCCTTTAATCGTATATCGTATTTAATTTTTACCGAGAAATCAACTCAACTCCTCGGTTGGGTATGGCGCTAACCTTGACATTTTTCCGGGCAATGACTCTTTCGATTAAAAGTAAACAAATAATGTGATTGTTGTTTTAAATAACAAAAAGTTATTTATTATCTCGATTGTTTTATCTTTTAATATACAATAACATTTACTGGACATTTTGTTTACAATTTAATAATTGTAAATTACTGGACGTGCTGATCGTTTTACAAAATATAATAAAACAACATTTTTTAATTATGTAAATTTTCGTTACAGTGAAAATTTAATAGCGAGTGGTTTACAATTAATGTTTATTATTAAGTAAATAAAATACTTATGCAAAGTATCAGCTGACGGACTTGGAGGTTAATCGAGTATCGAATTTTTTATTATTTTTAGGTTATTAATTTATTTTTATACACAATTTTTTTTTTTTATTTATTATACTTAATTTTATTTTTAATTTACGAATTAGATTATTTATTTTATATCACACGATTTAATTGTGCTCGTCCGCAATAAAATATTCGATAAGTCGATCGTATCTCCAGGACGTCAAAAGACTAGAATGATTAGAAGTAACCTTAGGTTTATACACACGTAAAATATAAAATTTAAATTTACATACATATATTTAATAATATATATATATATGAAAAAGTTATTTTTAAGTTTTTCCATCAATAGCTGTCTTTTATAATTTTAATTTGCGATTAAATATAAACGCGTCATCGTATTTACAGGTTAAAAAACAGCCGCGCAATGGAAGACGATTTTTAAATTAAATATTAATTGATTTTTTATATATTCATGTAAATATTAATGAGACAATGGGTTTATTTGACGAACAAAGTTCTTAGTTTCATTTTTTTTTTTGCAGAAATAAAGTTGAATAAAAATTAATTTGTCTTCTCTGAGACATAACCTAATTTTTACGGTTGATAATTTTCTTCTTAATGTATATACAATTTAAAAAAAAATTGACTTGTAAGGAAATTTAATTGTGTATTGTAAAAAATTTGTTCAGCCAAAAAAACCCAATTTTTGGCCCCACTATTTAAAAATAGTGTCTTTGATGGCTATCACTACACATTATTGAAGACATCGCACTTTAAAACTAGTCGGTGCATTCAGACGCGTAACTTTCAAGATCTACATAGTGTCCGTTCATATTGTCTTCAAGAAGTTGGGCCAGATCGCGTCGCAGAAGCTGGAACTCTGGACGGCGATCTGGATCCGCGTGCCAGCACCTTGCGATCACCCTGAATAGTTCGCTGCGACAGTGCGAAGGGCGCTCCAATCGGTAGCCATCTTGTACGTTCCTCATTACTTCTCTGGCCGCCATGTCGGGATACGGCGTCGAACCTAAATTAAATATCAATTTTTAGTTTGTTTTTATTGAAATTATTTCATTAACATTTAACTTTATATTACATGGCCTTTTTTTGTTAAATTTACAAAAAAAAATGTTAATTTTAGAAAAATGGATTTTTTTAAATTACTAATCAAGGAAAAAACAATTTTATATAATTATATACGAGTTTTTGGTCACACATAATTTTATATAAGATAAAAGACCCCATTATTGGCACCTTTAACCCCTATTAGTAGCACTTTTTCTTTCAATGAAAAAATGTTCTGCTTAGAATAAAAATTAAAAATTTTTTAAATCTAAAAGTCTTAAAGATTAGAAATTTGATATATTCATTATTGAAATTAATGATTTTATTAATTGAATAAGTACCAAAATCAAAGAAAGTGTCAGTAATCGGGTCCCCCCCCACCCCCACTAATGGGGTCTTTTACCCTAATTAATTTTTTCAATGTAAAATCTACAAACTTTCTAATGCTAAATTTACATTTTTTTATAATGTAAAATTGTCAGTTTTTATTAAAATATAAAAATTAAAAAGTCTTAAAAGGAATAAAACTGTAAATTTATTAAATTGTTCTGTAATTTTGACATTAATTCTTTTTCCTTGTAAGAATAAAAATACTAAATTTGGTGTGTGTATAAATTGGCATGGAAAATTAAAAGAATGATTGACTACTCATTAAATACATTTATGGCCGAAAGTAAATTATTGTACTTAGCGTCTAAAACTATAAATGTCTGACAAAGATGTCGGATTACATAATTTAAAATTTATATTTTAAATGGCGTGGCAAGAATTTTGCAATGTTTAAATATAACCATTGTATTTAAAATTTATGATCTTCCTTAAAAAATTCTTGCCAATTTTCTTCCATAAATTTTCCAAATTTACTATCTAAGCCTCAAAAATTTCACTTCTAAATGAAAATTCTTAGCTTTGTTCCTAAATAACCTCAAAAAAAATTTCCACACAATAAAACAATGCTCACCAAGAGTTACTATTTCCCACATAAGAATTCCAAAACTCCAGACGTCTGTTTTAGTCGTAAACAACGAATAAATAAGGGACTCTGGAGCCATCCATCTAATTGGCAAAGCATTTCTTCCATGTCTCGTCTCAATGCACTCTCCATCTTCATTGGCGAACCTCGACATCCCAAAGTCTGCTATTTTGCATAATTTATTGTGATCTACCAAGACATTGCGCGCCGCCAAGTCTCTGTGAATTATCTGAAACAAAAAAAGTCATTAGCATTCAAAAACTAACAAAAACAAATATGCTAATGCAATTAATTATCAAAAACAAAAAAAAACAACTCTTAATTGACATCATTAGTCAAGTCACGTCAAGAGTGCCATTACATTTAATTGACGCCTTATGCAACAAATGGCGACGGTTAAAATTATAAAAAAAAAAAAAAAAAAAAAAAAAAAAAAAACGGTGTTTCTATCATGAAAAAATCTAATTGAGAAGATCGTTGGTCGGTGGAAACTTATGCCCAACTTATGTATTGTATGCTAATGAACGTTACCAGGAGATGTAACCAGCGATTAACGATCTCGAGGTAAATTAACTTAGCAGTAATGAAGTAGAGACGAAATGTGTTGTTCGAGTAATAGCGAGTGTCTTCTTCTTCTTCTTCTTCTTCTTTTTTTTTAAATCTTGTCTGTCTTGATTTCTTCTTTCCCCATGAAGAAAAATAAAAAAAAAATGTACGTCGAAATCCGCAAAAAATATATTTTAAATGTATTACAAATCTATAAAAAATATATAAATTATGTATAGTAAATATATTTTTAATAGCTAATTTTTGGCCGATTTTCATATATATATTTTATATATTTTAGATATATTCAAAATATATTTTTTTAATATTTTTAGCTATGTATTTTTTATGTATTTTGAGATCTATCCAAAATATATTTAAAATATATAAAATATATATATATGAAAATCGGCCAAAAGTAAGTTATTAAAAACATATTTACTAAACATATTTTTTATAGATTTTTTATAAATTTCGACATATATTTTTTATATATTTTTTTTTCATGTGAGATTGGCTAATTTTTTGCTGGATTTAATTATTAAAAAATAATGACGAAAGCGGAAAAGTAAACGTTAATAGTTAATCGAAATAACGTTATAAATGTCGGAGCTAATTTGCCTTGGGTTTAGTTCCCATGTTAAATTTTAACTGTTAATATATTTAAATAGCAAAGTATGTAACATCCTTATTACTTTATGTTTAATTTATCGTCTTAATATGCAATAGGTTATTAATGTTGTATGTGCTGGCAAAATTATTACCACTGCTACTGAATTAACCATACAACTATAAAACCTCGTGCCCGTAAAAATATTAAATTGCTTGAGGATCTTAAATTTATATTTATGTATATATTTATAGTTATATGGAAGATATAGAACCGAGATGAAGATTGAGGAAACTGAATTTTCTGTTTATAGTTTTTATTACAGATGTTACACGTTCTACGGAGAGCAGAATTCTTTGGTAGAAGAGGATCATCCAATTACACGTATCCATAAATGTGAATGCTTGCTCCCTCCAATTAAAGTTAATCGAACTCGAGGAGTATGTATTTATATACAGTATTTGTCTTGTAGTTATCATTCTTATTCTTATTGATGTAGTATTCTTGTTTTTTTGTTCTATTATTGATGTTTATGTTCTTCTTCATTTTTTTGCCTTTGTGCTTTTATTATTCTTCCCGTCACTAAAGTCGTCATTGAAATAATAAAAGCATCCATGTCCATTGTACTCGTTCTGTCTATTGTAAGGCATTTTTTCATTTTATTGAGACCTTGATATTGACATCTGAAGATACCGATCTGAGGATTTTTTTTTTTTTCGGTTTATTATGCTTGACCATGTAGTCAAGCCCATTACATAAATTCTCGTAAGATTTTATTGTAAATGCTTTAATACTATTGTAAAAATTTATTTGATGGATTTTTATTTAATTTTTATATTTAGCATAAAATTTTTTATTTATTTTTTAAAACAATAATTAATAAACATAAATTTTAATTAAATAAAAAAAATAATTAAACGTTCAATTTTTTTTATTTAAATCAAATTTTGATAAGTATTTAGGCTAGATTCAAATTTGCTCTATTTCTAGATATATAATTAAAAAATGACCTTGTATCTTGTGAACTATTGACATTTTTAAAGATATAAGCTCATCCTGATGTTATACTCATCAAGACCTTTCATTTGAGTACCCACATCAATTTTTCATATATTTATATGTATTATATATATATATATATATATATATATATGTATATATGAAAAATTTGTGAAAATGCATGTGGGTACTCAAATGAAAGCTCTTGATGAGTGTAACATCGGGATGAGCTTATATCTTTAAAAATGTTAATAGTTAAAAAAATACAGTGCAATTTAATAAAAGTCATTATTTAATAAAGCAAAATTTTATTTATTTATAGTTCACAAGTCACGGAAGTCACATAGTAACTGCAAGGTTGCTGGTTATTATAGTTCTTTTATTTAAAAAAAAATTAATTTTTGCAGCAATTAATAACTAATAAACATTATCGATTTCAACTGAATAGAAATAACAATTAAAAGTTCCATAATTTTTAGCTCAGTACAAAGAAAAATCACACTGCTGGTCTTTAGAAATAAAAAAAAAAATAATTTTTTAAATTATAATCAACTTTTAAAGTTATAATTTCTCCATAAAGTGTACAAGAACTTTCTCCATCATCAAAATTTGATATTTATTGTTGTTAATTCTTGGTTACAAATAAAAATTTCTTAAAAAGTCTCCCTCGACTAAGAATTCGTAAACAACGCATATCTTCTCAATTTCAAGTACCGTTGTGTGAGCCCTTTACAAGTGACTTTCTCTTTCTCTGGTCTTACTCTTACTCTTGTTTTTTGCAGAAGCCCCAAAAACCGGTATCTCAACCGAATCGACCTTGATCGAAACTCAGCCAAAATAAAATCTCAACTCGATCAAATCGCGAAAGCTTATCTAAAAAGAAATGATATAGAGCCGCTAATTGCATATGTTACCTTTTTGGACGCGAGGTATTCCATGCCCCGAGCGACGCAGTACCCAAACACAGTAAGGTCTCGGGAGGTCAATGCTGCTGAATCTTCACTGAAGTTGTAGAAATCCTGTCTGGTCCGGTGATCTCTGAGGTAGGCCAATAACTTCCCATACATCACGTACTCAAGGATCAGGTAGTGCGGTTCTGATTAATATAAAACATACTTATATAAATATACTTATATGTATTTACATTGAATTTATTGTAATATGAATAAGTGACTTTGTTTGCTGAGCAATCATATTTCTACAGCCTTGAGCGTATTTGTTCATTAAACACAAAGAATACTCGGAATAATCAACAAAAACTGGTGCATCGTAAATATTTATCGATCCAAAGACGTAAGTTGCTAAGATAACATTGTATTAGTGCTTGTATTATTTTTCAAAAAATCTCTAATTTTATTTTGAAGCATTCGTTTTTGTCAAAGTACTTCAAAAAATTAATAAAAAGTTCAAATTATTAAATATTAATTTTTTTCTTCAATAACTTTAATTTTATTTTGTAGAATTAATTGTTAATTAGCTCATTAATTTTTTATCTAGTTAAAATAAAAATAATTCTCCAAATTACTTCAAAAAATTTATCTGGTTCAAATTATTAAATTTTAATTACTTTTATCAAAAATTTTAATTTTATTTTGTAGCATTAATTTTAATCAAGCTAATTAAATTTTTATTTAGCAGAAAATTAAAATAATTTGCCTAATTATCTCTGTAAAAATAAAATAAAATTACTAACAAAATTTTTTAATAATTTATCTTAAATTCAAGTTTGTAAATATTTATCATATTTTTTTTTTTTAATTTTAGAAAAATGACTCAAATTTTTATAAATATTATTTTTTTTATAAATTTTAGTGATAAATCCTAAAATAAAAGAATAATTAATCATCAATATTAACTACTTAACTTTAATTTTACTGAAATTAACTTTTATATGGCGATTTTTGGAAATTTTTAATAAATAAATTATGTTAGAGAGAATTTATCAAAAAATTCTATTTTAAGAAATCAAAACTAATATTAATGCAATTATTTGTTAAAATTTATCAAATAACAATTATTTTTTTATTTAAAAAAAATATCTGCAAACATTAAACAGTAGGTATTGAGTAAAAAATAAATATTGAGAAGTTTTTCATAAGTAATATGCAAAATAATTTATCGTCGATCGTCGTTAGATTATTAATGGCCGGAAAGTATCGTCGAGTGATTAATAATGAATAATGATAAATAATAAATAATAAATATTAAATAAATGAATAAAGATGTAGAAACTAAGAAGTTAGCGTTAATAAGGCGATATGTCACGTATTAAAAGTACGCAGTGTCTTGTATGCAAAGCGAAGGCTATCCCGCGAATAATATTGAGACGGGTGAAGCTTATCGCGTATATTTTAGTGTAGAAATTAACTGTGTATACTTAACGTCCGATTACAACAGAATTAAGACTTAAATCGCGATAAATTAACAAGCTTACATTAGTATTTTTTTTTTTTAGTATTTTTATTAATTGCGAAGCAATTCGTCTACGCGATTCATCAGGTGTAACTTGTTTTTAAATTTTGGGGTCGATGGACTGAGACTGAGAATGTTAAAACAACAAACATTAAGTTTGGTAAATTCAATGATTTTTTTTTTTTTAAGCAATCAGTTGAATAAATAAAAATTTTCACTGAAAATTGTTTTGTTTTTAATTGCAATTTTCACTCCAAGTTCAATGATTGAGAATAGAATTTTTTTAATTAAATAAAATATTAAATTTACTACGTATTTTTGCACTTAAAATATTATAAAAAAAAAATCATTTTTCTTCCTGTTTTTAAAATTTATACCGAAGAATTTACGACGCGATAGCACTATCGGCAGAATCGTGACTGTTAATGCAATGACTCAAAAATTTTATGAGCTAAAAATACGTCAAGCGTTCAGACATTAGTCTTGTGGACTTGAGAGCTATCAACTGCACTCACGAATTATCTCTAATAACTCGGTGGTACCGTCACTCGGATCCAAAGATTGTGACCAATAAATTCGTCATGCTTTGTTTATTTTTTTTGTTTTTATATTTTATTTTTTTAGTCATAAATTTATGAATTTTTGCGCCGTAAACTTTTGGTTTGCGGTGAACTATAGATGCGTTCGAATCCTTGAAACCGAGGGCATTCGAGCTATTTAGGACCTAAATATCTTTAGGTCCAGGCACTTAATTTTCAGTTAAATGGGCGGTTATGCTACATAAATATTTAATAAATCATCTTTAGTGTTAATATGTGTTCAAAATATTTTTTTCTTTTTTTTTGGTTGACCCTGCAATTGTACTCGAGTATATAGAATGGGTTATTTTTTTCTTAGAAGTTTTGTAACCCAAAATTATGAAAATTACAGTTGAGAATTTTAGGTGTTACATTCATTTAAATAATTTTTGCAATATCATATTTTTTTTTTCAAAATTTGACATTTAAAAATAAAAATTATAGATAAGAATTAAGGGGTTTAATAATAAAAACAAATATTTATTAGTTTTTTTGTTAAAGAAAAGGTTTTTTGATAAAATTATCATCATAATTTAATTTAGATACTTTAAAGATCTTAAAAAAAAAAATTTGGATCAAAATTTCGTAATTATTTTGATTGATTTGCTAAAAATATTAAAAAAATTACAATTTGGTAAGTTTTCAACTTTAAATTCGAAGAATTTATGAAAAATTGATATTATTAAAAATTTTTTTATTAGAACGTATAATTTTCTATAGAAATGTTCTAAAATTACTAGTTTGATAAATTGTTCAACAAAAAATTAAAAAATGAGAAAAAATTGAAAATTTCAAAATTTTTAGACGCTAATTAAATTGAAAAAAAAAAAAAAAATAAAATAAAATGAAGCTACCATTTTCTCGAAACTTTGAAAAATATTTTTTAATTATTATAAAAAAAAAAATTCCTGAAAGAGAAAAAATATTTTTTGAAGTGCTATATTATAATATAAAAAATAATTTGTCTTATTTCCACTAGTAATTTTGATCCAGCCTAATTTTCCGCTAAGCTTTTGGATAATTTAAACCCAAACAAAGACAAATTATAAACTCTTAAGAATTAGAATATTATAATAATTACAATAAAAATGAAAATGACTAAAATAACAGGTGTTCGTGACACAGAGGTTAGCTAAAGCCATTCTGCTTGGTCATGAATATCACGTGAAAAATTAACAAAACAAATGATACCGAGTGTCTCGACGGATCACGCGAGACGCTGGCAAGTTAATGGCTGTATTGTGAGAAATATTAAAATATAATATAAATATAAATACAAATAATAATATACATAGTAGCGTCTAAGCTTAGAAGATCTCTCACGGACAAGTTGATAATGCGCATATGTAAATTGTTCGAGAACACTCAGACGTAGTACGTAATGCCGTCATTATTTTACCTTTTTTCTGAATCGCGTCATTGATATAACCTTATATATACATACATATAAGAGAAATAAAATAATAATCTTCGAGGAACATCAATCTCGGGCTGGAAAATAATTTTCCGATACGTCAATGCACGATCTTATCTCTGATTGCAAAAAGTTGCTCAATTTGATGAGTCAGTTGAATAAAAAAACTCGGTATCTTCTTCATCTGATAAAAAAGATGTAACACATACCTTCTTCAGTGCAACAGCCTAGTAATGTGACGACGTTCGGATGATTCCCCAACTGCTGCATAATTTCTAACTCCCTGACAAGATCTTCCTTTTCCCTTGCAGAAGCGCCTTCTTTGACAGTTTTTACGGCAACCAGTCGGGTCGTTCCTTTATGACCCGTCAAGTCATCAGCTTCTGCTTTCCATACTTGTCCGAAATTACCCTGTCCTAGGACTGTTTGGAGCCTCAGCTTGTCACGAGGAAACTCCCATCTTGACTCTTGTTTCGCTGGAGGCGGCGGCTTCTCTGCTTCGTGGCACTGCGGTAACAAATACTTCATTTGAAATTATAATTTATGAATGATTATTATTCATAATTAACTATGAGAATTATTATTTAATTATCTGACTAAATTAATTTTTTTTTTCAATAATTAAAAAAGAAGAATATAAATTAAGAAAAATGTCTAGTGAAAAAAATTTGAAATTAAGCGCGCTTACCGAAGCGCCATTACCCAGTTGTTCTAACATAAAAATAACACCATTTTGTTGTAACACCTAACTCTTGACCGATTATCTTCTAAATTAATGATATTATCTAAAGTATAATTTTATAATTCAAGAATATAATAGTAGAAAATTTTTCTATGCTTTTAGGTAATTTTTTAATTAAATCATTAAATCAACTCTTATAATTTAGATGAAAAATATGAAAATATATCATGTAAGCAAACTATTCGCAAACTATTTGATTGGTCAAATATATCATAAGCATGAAAATATAGATAATTCCATACTAACATTCACACGCGCGCTTGCGCGCGCAACGTATACTGGTTAGTATTGGAAAATTCTAACAGAGGGCGCATGATCGCTAAATCGTCTTCTTAACAGAGAATTGAGTTCTAAAATATTGCTCATATTTATTACTTGGTTGAATAAATTTTTAGGAAAATTTTATCGTAAAAAAATCATGTCTTGAAAAGTTAAAAAATTATACTTTGTATAAATTAATTGATCCATTATTGAGATCAATTTGAGTTCACAAAATTAAAAATTAGTAATTAGTGTAAATTTATAATTATAAAAAGATTTTTTTGAGATATATATATATATATATATATATATATATATATATATATATATATATATATAATGATATTAATAAAAAAGAATATTAAAGTTTAAATGAAAAATTTTTTTACTATTCTAAAAATTTTTTAAGTTATTTTTGAGTTTACTTAACTTCAAATTCAATTTTTATTAAAGTAAACATTTAAATTATCGTAAAAATTTCCTATAAAATGCATAAAAATAGAAAATTTTATTTTTTATTCTCATCTATATCCATATATGACCAGATTAGGTCAGATAAGAAAATTGGCCTTATCAAAAAATTTTTTCACGGGATAAATAAACGTTCTGTAAAATTTACTCGGGTTTACAAATATAAACTTTCACTGGAATAAATAAGATCATTTGTCTTTGCTCATTCAACTCACGAGATGCTGTATCCTCGGCAATTTGGTTATCGCCTTTTCGATCGAGGTCTTGAAGTCCCCATTCTCGAGATTCAGCGCATCCTTCCTGCAGCTTATCTCTGATGATGTGTCAGACTCCTCCAGCACCTGCAAGCAACATTCACATAAACATAACCAATTTCAGTAATACGTCACCACTCACAACTCACCAATCAGTCATTATCATTATCATTATCATTAATCACTGAAAGATATTTACTTAGTGTAATAATATATGTATTTACAGCCAATTATTTCCAACGTTCTATCATCATCTAAATTATGTACCACTCAATATTTGCAATTTTATCCTTTTCATGTAATTTTGTTGAGAGAAGAAAATAAAGACAAAGATGAGGATTGAATTATCTGTTATGTAATTTAGAATCCCGGATTGTTATTTGTTACGGGCAATTATTGTTGCGGTTGATTGGATCCTGCTAATTCTAATTGCTTTTCCGGAATAGTTTGATTAAAAATCCATAAATTGAATGTTAATCATGCTAAATTATTATTATGATGGGTTGTGGATGCAAATAAACGCGTCCTCGAAGGTTTTGCGGGCTAATTTATGTGAGGAACAAATTAGTTGGAGGAGCTTCAGCTTCCAGCTCGTGAACAAAGCGTTGGTGATCCGAAGGCGTCGGGACTGTTGTAAATAGTAATCACGGACGTCATTATCACCTAAATCGCCTTGAACCCGCTGGATGCTGGATGCTCGATGAATGACAATGCAAATTCGAGGTATCGGCAACCTGTCAGCGGGTGCTGAGGCAAGATCATTATTTACAGGCTTTCATCAATTGTCAATCATTGTTTGGTTGTTGGTTGAGAAATATGCAGCGGCTTGTTTGTTAAGTACTTAAATTCAAGTGTTAATACTTCAGGTGTTTCGCAAAGGAATGGTTTTAGTTATGTTTAATTTTAAAATTTTATTTAAGAGAGTGATTTATTTAATTGACGGTGATGAAAGTTGAAAAAAGGGAATATTTGCATTGATAATTATTTTAATAATTATCTTTTAAATATTAAAAAAAATTAAATTTAATATTTATACAAATTGTAATTATTGAATTTTATTTTACTAAAGCTGAATTATTTCAGTCTAATTTAATAATTTCACATATAATTAGAGTTAAAAATCAATTATATAGAAATTAACATGATTTTTTATTATAAATATTAAATAATGATTAATTATTTATGAAAATTAAGTTAGCCGACATTTAAAAATTTTTAGAATTTTTTTTTATTGAAGAAATCATGACAAAAAAATTAAAAAAAAAAATTCATTTGTAAAAAATTAAAAAAACTACACATGCAATTTTTTAAAAATATTTTTTAGTTGTAATTTAATAAATGAAAAAAAAAAAACAGAAACAAATTAAAAACGTAGGCTAACTTTTGTATTATAATTATTTAAGTAAAATTTTGGAATTAAAAAATATTTATGATGGAATTAAAAATATTCAAAGTAATTAAAAAATTTTAATAATAATTATTCAAGAATATTTTTACTTATTAATATGTTTTTTATATAAATAAAAAGAAAAAAAAATAATAAAATTGATTTAACCACGAAAGTTGATAGTAAATTAATAAATAATTTGATGTTAAATTCGTATAATCAATAAAAATATTTATCTGATTTCCGTATTGAAGAAAAAAAAAAATTACAGTGTAGTAACAAACACTTAAAATAAATATTTGATTTGATTACAAACAACAAACATAAATATTTTATTAAAATACTTTCTTGCTAATAAAATTGAGGAAGAAATATTATAGCATAACTTTTATTTATAATGAAAATAGTATAATGTCTTTTATTAAATTTCTCTTTTAAATTTTTTATCACGGAGATGAAGATAAAAGTGAAAAAAATTTTAAATAATAAAAATTTAAATGAAAATACGAAGACGTTTAACAGAAACGACTGCGTACTTAAATTTTTAGCTGGTGTTAAAAAGATCGATTTGAAAAGAATTTAAAAGTATTACAACAAAGCCGAAAGTGTTTTTTTCGTGCTGCAGCCCTTTGCAGAACGAATGCGATCGTAAAGCATAAATTAAGTCCGACAGCACGAAAATTAAGTTTGAGTAGTACATTGAGTTTTAGTGGAGGGCGAGAAAAATATAAAAAGTGATGCGATGTTATGTTGTGTTACGTGATGCAATGGATTGGTATTCCAATATTTTAAACCGGCAGACTAAACGATTGCCCGCCTTGCGAAAAATTTTATTGTTTTCTTTAGACAACGTAATGGATTGACGATAATTGTTATAATGATGATGATGATGATGGTGGTGATGATGATAATGATGATGATAAATATTGATGTATTGAGTAATACAATAAATACTGTTAATATTATTTATTATTTATAGTATGTATTGTAAATTGGGATTACTCATTTAATTGAGTACCCTGACCTGTTTTCTGATTTGATATCATATGTAAAGTGTAGTAATAATAAATTTGAATAAATAAATATTATTAATTATTAGAAATTTATTTAACTGATAGTCGCGATAGCTGTCATTATCTTTTTGCCGATTAAAGCTACTGAGGACGATTAATCATAATTGTTTTTTATCGGGTGTCATCATCATTAATTTTTTATGTATGTTCTTATATAGGACAAATTTTTTTTTTTAAATTAATTATTGCGAAATTTGATAAAAATCATAAATTTTATTATTATTATTATTATTATTATTATTATTATTATCATCTATGATGATGAGTATTTAGGCTACATTCAAAAATGCTATATTTCTAGATAGATAATTAAGAAATCACCTTTTATCTTGTAAACTATTGACATTTTTAAAAACATAAGCTCATCCCGATGTTACACTCATCAAGACCTTTCATTTAAGTACCCACATCAATTTTTCATATATTTATATATATATTACATATATGTATATATGAAAAATATATGAAAATGCATGTGGGTATTCAAATGAAAGCTCCTGATGAGTGTAACATCGAGATGAGCTTATATCTTTAAAAATGTCAATAGTTAAGAAAGTACAGTGCAATTTAACATAATTAAGAAATTACTCTTTAACTTGTCATATATTGACATTTTTAAAGATATAAGCTCATCCCGATGGTATACTCATCAAGACCTTTCATTTAAGTACCCACATCAATTTTTCATATATTTATGTATATTATATATATGTATGTATGAAAAATATATAAAAATGCATGTGGGTACTCAAATGAAAGCTCTTGATGAGTGTAACATCGGGATGAACTTATATTTTTAAAAATGTCAATAGTTAAGAAAGTACAGTGCAATTCAACAAAAGTCATTATTTAATAAAGCAAAATTTCATTTATAGTTCACAACTCACGGCAGTCACATAGTGACTGCAAGATTGCTCGCTATTATTATTATTATCCAAATATAAAATAAAAATAAATTTTCATCAAAACAATGTTTATGTTCTTTGTATTGAATTTTTTCTTGTTTTTTATCTTTGATCACATTTTATAATTTTTTGTTCAACTACGTAAATTACATCTTAAACCTTCATAATAGAATACATAATAACCTTCAATTTAAGTAACCTTAAAATTAACAATAACAAATTTTTTTATATTCATAAAAAAAACTCCAACTAACTAAAAAAAATTTTTTTAATTTTAAATCTAAAAAAATTCCATACAATTTTTTTTTGAGACAAAATTTTTATTCGAAAATAATAATTATCAGGTTTTATATTATATTATTTATGATTTAAAACCAAGATTAATAAATAACATAAAGCATTCAAAAATAATATTAAAAAAAAATTCCAATAAATAATTTTTTCAACACTAAATTTTTCCACAAACAAACACTGTCTGATTATATTAAAATTTACCATTTAAAATTCAAAGAACGCAAGTTTAATGACTGTCATAATGGATCAAAAAAAAATTTCTTCTCTGAAGAATATTTTCTTAGTCAATGGAAATGTAAATCATGCATGCACTTATATGAAAGATATTAATATCCCTTCCGACGACAAAAATAAAAAAAAATAAGATCGAGAACGAAGATGAAAGTCTTGAAGATGACACCCGTCAGGTCATCAACACTATCAATACTACAAGGCCGTAACATTGTTAATTAAAGATGTGCAAGTCCGTAAGCCCAAGGAAATCCAACTTTTCAATGCAATGCAAAAGCGCTTTATATAGATTTTAATAATATCGTTAATAAATTGTCTGACTTGTCTTAAGAAAACTACGCATACATATAAATATGTTGCGCATATGTGCTGCTGCATCTTCGGAGATTGGGCACAAGGATAGTGAGGATTAATGGTCTATAATCAAAATTAAATGAAGATTCACCGTGCATGGATATGCCTACTGTGTCATTACGAGTTAAACCGTGGAGCATATTTGCAAATATTAAAGTTAAACTGCTGTGTCGGGGAATAATTTGCAAGATCGCGTGTCCGTGAACGGTCTACAATTCATTTTTTCGTCCTGGCTTTGCGTCGACGGCTGATGACTTAAAAGTTAGAGTTTAAATCGCGAAAATTTTATTATTTTATTTTTATTTTTATTATTACACTGTCTGCAAACGCGCTCGTTAACGATCGAGACCATAACTCACTGATCTCGCGACGTGGGGTGACCTGTGCAGTCAAAGGTTCATCATAATCAAGGTGAACATGATCCAGAAGCCAAAAAAATCATCTTTCGTTTCCGAAATAAATTATGGACGATTTTTAGAGGAGAAAATTTTTTTTTATACTTAGAAAATATAATATACTGCTAAGAAATATTAAAATATCGAATATTTTGGGAATTATCATTAATTTTATTAATTCTTAATAAATTTATTTATTTAGAAATAATTTATTAATTTATCTTTTTTTTTTTTAACTTTTAATAAATATTTTTTCGAAAAAATCACGTTTATTAACAGTTAATAAATACATCGCGGAATTAATATGTCTTACTTAAATTATTCAAAATAATAAAATCTATTATCTCCAAAATCGCTTATAAAAAATAACTATTTTTGCACCGTCCAAAAAAACATTAATTTGATTCAAGAGAAAAATTCTGGACACTAAAAAATAATTTTTAAGAATTTTATAGTCTTCATTTAAGTAGAAAAATTTTTTAAATGAGAAATTTCTTCTAAAATTTACAACTTCTTACTTTTGAGAATTATTAATTTTTAAGCGAGAAGTTAATAATTTTTTTGGTTCACGAATTTAAATCAAGTTAATGTTTTTTTAATGTATTCCCCCTTAAATAAATAAAAAAAAAAAATTTCTCACCTTGCGATTCTTTATTATCAGTCTTCTGAAGATAAGCACCACCCCAACAACAATCGGGAAGAAAACAAGTCCCGCGAGTATGTAACTCACGATAACGACGGTTTCCTGGGTCGCTAAAGTGTCTCCGTCGTGCCTTTTGGTGATTACTTCACTCATGTTTATAGGGTCGCGCATAGTAACCGGAATGATCCCGGGTTCGTAAAAACTCGAATTCACCTGATGATACCCGTTGGGTTCCGGCCCGGAAAAGTACACCGGTTTGTGTCTGGTTTTGTTCCCGAGAGAACTAGAGCCCGGATTCGAATTCTGTACCTTCGTAGAATTCGACGCGCTTTCCCTATTTCTACCCTTCGTACTCACATTTTCTTCCCCATCTACCGTCTTAACCTCCACCGTTCTGTTCTCCCTATTTTCCAAGTCCTTCATCGTCCCATTAAAAATATCCGACGTATTGTACAAATGCATTATCGGCAGAACATCATCCTTGTCCTTGGTCTTGTCGGAGAGATTTCTTCCCCTGACCTCCGGCGACCTCTCCCCATTTTTCTTCGCTTCCATTTTTGGAGTTTGCGGAGAGGTCACCAGGTTTGCTTCCGGAAGCGTTGTTCCTTCCGGCTTCAAGGTCGTCTGGGACCGGTACATCTTCTGGATTTCAGAAGGGTCCAAGTCCTTTGCGATTCCAAACGGTCTGTCCGGAGCTTTCGCAGTTTCTTCGACTTTTTCCTCGACATCCTGATCCTCAACCTTTCCCTTATCCTTATCCTTATCGTCTAAAATCATCGGAGTAACAGGAAAAACCGGAGTTTTCACGGTTGAGCTAACCAATTTCAAATCACCAAATCCAGTCCCACTATCACTTTCCCCGTTCCCCTTCACCGGCTCGCTCAAGTTCAGCTTCACACCTTCAAACTTCTGGCCTTCACCAACTATAGGCAAACCAGACCCAGAATTCGCACCAGATTCCCCTATCATGCTGCTATTCGCCATAATACTGCCGATATTATAACTATTATTAGCACTATCAACCGGTAGAATCACCTCATCTTTGCTGTCAATGGACCTCGAGCCGACCCTTTCATCAACACGTCCTTTGGTGCTTCTGCTTCCACTTCTGATATCACTTCGACGCCTCTTAGAATCTCTAACAGATTCCTCCCCAGTGATCCTCTGATTGAGCACTGCGCTGGCCGACTTCCTCAACAGCCTCCTGTCATTAACCTCCTTTTTATCTAGCACCTTTTCCCCACTTTCGGTAGTCAACTTCAGTGTTGACTTTCGTTCGACACTTTCTGGAGTCGTTGATCTGGGCAGATTCTGGTCAGCTTCCTTTCCTTCAGAACTAACTGCACTGGGGGTAGTTGACCTAAACAGTTTTTTGTCATTGGTCACTTCTTTGTCAACAATTGCACTTACAGTAGTTTTCTCTTCCCCTTCATCAGTCACTTTTTTAAGGTGTCCCTTTTCTTCAGCAGAGGTCCTGCTGGTTGGTTCGGTGGAATTGGGATAAGAATTGGAATTGAAATTAAAATTAGAATTAGAAGAACCAACAGCAGGATTATCAGTCGAGATTGGAACCGCAGTGGATGCCTGAGAAGTGTTGCGGTGAACTGAATACGCGGCGACTTGTTGCTGTAAAGTAGTATCGTTAAAAGTTTCTCCCACCAAGAGCGCAGCAGCAGTTAGCGGGGTGCTCTGCTCAGTTGTAGCACTGTGTTCAACGGCAGTCGGAGCAACACTGACTGGGCCGGGCGTGCGCGTCGAGTGTAGTAGATCCATGCCAGAGGTAGCAAGAGGAGGAGAAAACCAAGAATTTACTTGTTCTTTTAACGTTGTCAACGACGGGTTGTCATTTGACCCAGGTCCGGAGTAGTTTCCTAGCAGCCGAGTTACATTTGTGATCGTGTAGGCATACGGGTGCATCTGCTGTACTAGCGCAACAGGTGCTTCTTCATTAGGAATCCCTGTTGCTGAAGTAAAAGTATCCGTTACTGTGGCCGCTGTTGTAGCCGGTGTTAATGTTGTAGTTAATATTGACGATGATGATGTTGATGATGTTGATGTTAAAGGCACTAAAGTAACAACATTCTCAGCAACGATATTTACAGGCTCTAAACCAGATGAATTTCCCGTTAGTTCGGTTACTGCTGGTATCTCCGTTACAACAATTCGCAACGAGCTAGAAGAAGTACTCACATTTTCTCTGTCCATCGAGGGTGTCATTGGGTCAGCGTTTATGGACAGCCATGTCGAAATTCTACCGAGAACCTGAGAAGACTCTGAAGGCATCATCAGCCCTTTTTCTTCTTTGTTATTTCCAGTTTGCAAAACTCCTGTTTTCTTGCTACGAACGGAAGAACTTTTGGGCTTTTCAATTTTTGATATCAAGGATTCATCTTTGGTGTTATTTAAGGTCAAATTCCTCAGTGTAACATCATTAGAAGCAATATCAAGCTGAACAGAGTTCCCTTCAGTGCTTCCGTTTTTGGCAGTAACATTCGCAAGCAAAGAATCTGACCTTTGGCTCTTTCTAAGATACAAATTAGTGCCCCTTAGGAGGTTTTTGGTCTTGGGGATCTTGTTCCTCTCCACAGTAGACTTATCGACTGCGATATTCATCTCTTCGTTGATCATTTCCTCGAGTTTCGATGAAGGAGTCGCAGTAGTGCTGAACCCTTTGATGAAGAATCTCCTCCTCTGCATAGGAGAAGCAGAAGTACTGGTAACTTCGACGGAATTGTTGCTAGTGGTGTTTTCCGGGCGGATTTTTTGGCCAAAGTACCGAAACTGCGTCATATCTTCTATAGGAATATTACTTTCTACTGGCCGGAAATGATTGTACAGTGACTCGGGCATCACTACAGTGTTCTTTCTTCTCATTTGCGATGACTGAGTCAAAGACCCGTTTTTGGATGATGAGTTGCGAGATAATGAACCAATTGTGCTATGATCTTCTTCTTCTTTTTCGCTCTCCTCATCAAGAGTCGGCTGGTCGTCCAAGTCTGAGTCTGAAGGGGCAGTCACGTAGACGCTGTGTCTGGTTTCCTGGACCTCCAACAAGTCCTGGGAATTGTTTAGAGAGGATTTCAAAGTGGAATTTAGGTGGCTTTTCGGAGAAATAGATCGGGTCAAGGCTTGTCGACGGCGGACTGCCAAACGGTTTCGGAATACCTGCTCGCGTTTCGCCTTAGAGGTTGGGGACTCGGTGTTAAAAGCTGTCCTTCCTTGTCGGTGGTCCTGAGTCTCGTCTAGAAGCATAAAAAGAAGAAATTAAATTGACTAGTGACCTAGAAAATTGGAATTTGAGATGGGAGAAAAATTACCGATTCAGATCGAACGGTTAAGATGTGGTTTGTTTTTGTTGCTCGAGTAAAAGTGTCGACTCACGAGGAGCAGTCGTGACCCACGTGCATTTACGACAGTCTAACGGTCCTAGTGTATTGAGAGGGTCTTTAGACTACAGACTATAAGGTTGTATTTATGGTGGATCAACACAGAGAGAGGACTTTGTCTTTTGCCGCATCGCTAACTCGGCTCATCGTTCATCCTACTAGTCTCAAGGTTGACTTTGATTTATTTTTGCTAGACACTAGACAATGCCCGTTTTTTGGTTAAATCAACCGCTAATTGCTGATTGATATTGATGATCATCATCGCAGTGTAATGGAATACAATGTGATGTGAACAGCTATTTTGACGGGCAGATCGACCCTAACCTTTCAATAATTTGTTAGGATGGGGGCTTTTATTGTGCAGTGGGTTAGACGATTCATTTTTTAGATGTTCAGTCATTAGCTTTCAATTATGAGGAATTGCTTGTCTTCTGAGAAATTGAGGTGAAATTAATTGAGTTTCTTTGATAGAAATTGATTGAGAAAGAGGTTTTTTAAGGTAATGGCAAAATTAATCAAGTTTGTAGGAGATTAATTTGCTAATGGTTGATTGAAAATTATTTTAAGTAATCATTTTTGAATTAATATGTAATGATTAATGCTTCTATTGTTGATTTTTTTTAATAGGTAATTTTTAAAATGTTATTGATAAATTAAATTTTTTATTTTTAAAAAAATTCCAGTTTAAACAATTTAATTGATTAATTATTTAGAAGATTAAAAATTTTTTAACTTAATTTCTATAATTATATAAATTATTATTTAAAAAAATTATTAAATGTAATATTAAAAATATTCATAAGTGAATTTTTATATTGTCAAAAAATTATCATTGATTATTTTATTTTTTCAATATAAAAAATTTTTAATAAATATTTCTTAATCCTACAGTCTACCGACTTCACTATCATACAATTAAAGCATCATAATTTTTGCGAATCACTGAAATAAATTAAAGATAAATTATTTACAAGTACCATCAACTATAATTGAACCAATATTTCAAAACCATACTCCCATGTATTAATTTATAAATGAATTGATTTAACTCGAACCGGAATGATGTAATAGGACAACTTTATCACCCGATCACTCGCCATTAATTAATTCAATAATGAATTATCAACGTAATGAAATGAATTACTCTTAAAATAAAAAAAACATCCAGGAAGTCAAAGCCCTTGGAAAAAAAGTAACGCGAAATGACCACCCGGTACGCCCTGACAATTTAAGTCACCTCGTTTGCATCCGAGTATTTGACTACTATTACACGATATTAATTTACGAAGTATGTATGTGGAGTAGAGCTCAAGAGATGCAACGCTATAATAACTACATGTATACGTTATGCACACAGTACAGGATACTTACGCCCACACGACCGTAAAGTATATTCTGGTCTTTATAGCCGTCGTAAGTATGATCTACGCAGCCATACCCAGACGTAGTTGTACCAGTAGTTAAACTTGTCTCTCTTACACTTTTATTAATCTTTAATGCAAGTAAAGGATCCTTATACTTCCTCTTTCTTACTATCCGCTATTCGTAGTCCGCAGTCCGTTGTCTGTATGGTCTCTATGGTCCGTATTTACAATCTTGCGTACTGAAACACACTGTAAATATCACAGGGCAACCTGCTGCTGCTACTGCTAAATAATGTCTCTCAGTACTGTAAATCATCTAGACATTCAGACCCGTGTCTTTCTCACTTTAAGATACTCCAACTGTTGTGTTTGTACCTACTAAATTAACCTGTACCCTTTTATTGATTATCAACTCATACATTCATCACTTTGCATTTTATTTTTATCCATATGTCTTTTATTGTTTAGCAGGTTCTTGTTATTTATTACTTGTATTGCGTAATTTTTTGGACTGAAAAATTTTTTAAATATATTATTAATGTTATTTGTAAAGTAAATTTAAAAACAAAAAGAGGTAATAATTCATTTTAATATAAAATTAAATTATAAAACTTAAAAATAATTTTTTTCTTTATGATTCAATGATAGAAAATTTTTTTTAATAATATTTAAGTTGGAAAAAAAAATAATTGAATTTTTAGAAACTAAAATCTGGTTCTATTATTTTTTGAAAATTAAATTTAATGTAAAATTTTATTATTATTATTATTATTATTATTATTTTAAGGATGTTTTAAATATATTATCCCGCATGGAAAAATATATACGTCAAAAATATATATGCCGTATAAATTTACGCAAAAAAAAATAAGTCAACATATATTTTTCACATAGATGCTGATATATATGTAGAAATACATGCCAAAATATATGTAAGGATACACTGAAAAAAAATTTCTTAGTTTAAGAATTTTTTTACTCAAATCAAGAAGGTGAAATTCTTTAAAATTATTTATTTGATTCAAGTTAAATTTTTTTTCAAGACATATATATTGCATTTATATGCGCGCATATATGTTAACATATTTTTATATATGTCTATAGACATATATTCTATTATCTATTGCGGAATATAAGTTTGCATATATTTAGCGCAAATAAAAATATATGTTCGCATATATTTTTCACATATATATTTTTTCATGCAGAATATATGTTATTTTTAATGTAAGTGATTTAAATTTAATAACAAAGAGGTAATAATTAATTTTGATATAAAATTAGATTATAAAAATTAAAAATAATTTTTTTTTTTACAATTCAACGACAAAAATCTGGTTGCGTTATTTTTTAAAAATTGGATTTAATGTCAAATTTTATTATTATTATTATTACTTTTATTTTTATTATTAATCATTCCAGTAATTTAACGCAATCAAGGTTCCGTTAATTGATCAAAATATGTAATTTAATCTTAATGAATATAATTAAAAAAAAGTTATTTATTGAAAAAAAATAGACATAAATAAATGGAATTTAACTTTACTCGTTATATAAGCAAAGATGCTTTTTATTACTTTATTTGTACTGTGAACAATGGACGGTTATATTTGTAGCGTTAAAAAAAAAGACTACGTAAGAACGATTGTTGGCTGCAGAAAATATAATTCGCGTTAGTGATTATTTTGATTTGCTCTTTTGTGGTGAGTCACAACAGAACAACAACGAGATGTTTTTTTTTTTATTTTTTATATATATTTTTAATGTAAAAAGTGTGAGTATGAGTGTGTAGATATTGACATGAGATACATGAGTTGGGCTTTCGTGGAGCGTGTATCCGTTTCCGGTACACTGATGGAGAACTCGGTACCAGTGCAGAGTTCTGCGTCGCAGAGGTAAAATTAAAGAGAAGAGCCGCGAGCTAAAGGACACTCCGGTCAACGAGTACGAGTTAATTATATAACCACTTAAACTTTTGTTTAGCCAAAGCCGAAGTTGATGATAATTAACGATCCTGGTTCGTGACAGAGAAAATTAGCCGGTGATTTAATGGTCGGTGAACGCGAATCGCGAATCGGAGTTCGAGTTAGTATTTCACTGCTATTTAATTATTTTTAATTGCGGGAGTCGATATAATTCCATTACCGCGTCTGGAGATCTCTTTGGTCTCTTGGCTTGCATTAATTAAATTATAGTTAAGTACACACAACAGAGTTTTTGTTTGACGAAGTAAAGCTAATTTCATATTTTTATATTTTTATATTTTTACCCGGATGGCTCGTTACCTACAACTTATAACTTACAAGTTACAGCTTACGGCGTATTACGCAATTTAAAGATTCCAAAGGAGAGGAACAATGGGGATCAACGTCCTGGAAAAATCTTCCGGGCATTCTCGAGTCATGAGTGAAACCACGCGAGACCTTTTTATTGTCCTTGATCACATCTATCTCAGACAAATTGCCTTTATGTTTTATTTTTTTTTTTTTTTGCTTTAAGTGGATTTTAATTTATTTGGTTTTTATTTTAATAATTTAAACTCTTAATATCTTTATTAATAATAATAACAATAATTATGAATAATAATTGATGTTCTAGTCTAAATATTTTTGTAGAAAATTAAATTCTCTATTCTTTTTAAATTTAATTTTTCTTTTTGGTGTACTTATTGTTAAATTTTTGAGGAAAAAAAAATTTTTTTATTTCAATAATTGAAACTCTTGATATCATTATTAATAATAATAGCAATAATAATTAATAATAATAATGAAAAATTGATTCTTCAAGAATTGGATCGGGTATCTCGGCTGAAAAATAATAACTATCTCTCTTTATTAATAATAATAATAATAATAATAATAATAATTGAATTTTTAGTCTAAATATTTTTATAGAAAATTGAATTCTTTATTTTTCAATTTAATTTTTTTTTTCGATGTACTTATTATTAAATTTTCGAGAAAAAAAAAATAATAAAAAGAATTTTTGTTTATTTCTAAAGTTTTCTTTATCAATTTTCAATTATTTCACCCGTTTTTAAATATTAAAATTGAAAATTTACCTAAAAATTGATTAATTATTTAACTGTGATCATTTTTTGTAATTAAACAAAAATTATATCTCAATTGGAAGTGTAATTAATTATGACGGAAAAATAAAAAAAAACTCTAATCGAATTCCAAAAGATTATAAATTATTATTCATGGGATTTAAATCAATTAAATGTAATTTTTATTATTATTATTTATTTATTTCAGCCTTGAGGGCCTAGAAATAGGACTGAGTACATATAACTTTACATAATCTTATTTCTATTAAATTACATTTACTTATTTTACTTATTTCGATTATTTTAACTTAATACAATGTGCAGAATTCTTTTATTACTTCTCTATATACGTATATATTTTCATGATATATTTTTCATTTCACGGCTCTGTCTATTTTATTTTATATTTAATATTTAATGATTTTATATCTTTTTAGTATTTACACTGCCTATCTTTATTATATCACACATAATTAAATGTAATTTTAAAATAAGTTTGATATTCTTGAAAGTCAAATAAACTTGAAGAAGCAAAACAGGATTTTTGGCACCGGTAATAAATATTAGCATAGATTTTTTTTGTTCAATCAAGATTGAGAGATATATATTATGTTTTATGGCCTAGACATTGGAAAAAATTTAATTAAAATATTTATTACAGCGAGAAAAAAGTATAAATCATGGATACAATGGGGAGGTTAGATATTTTTAAAAATATAAATAAAAATGATTTAAACAGTTCTGTTGTCTCATGGGCATCGGAGCGTTTCGCAAGTGGTATTGTTATGCTGGTGATGTGTAATGCACTGCACATAGACCTAACTTAAATAACAGGAGCAACACTGACCTTACTCATACACGTGTTCACATAAAATATTACGGGCTTTTATGCGGTCACGCCGCGGCGATAACCCAGCTAAACCAGTCGCCTAAGAGTCTCTCAGTCTCAACTCTCGACGTCACCTTTTTTATTTTCCTCATATATAT